CCCATTTGGCTGTGTGAAGAATACAAATGTGTTATATACTTAGAAGTTCACATGATCTAGAAAGTGATTTTGAGATTCTACATGCTTTTTCCCAACAGAGCAGCATCTACATGGAAAAAACCTCAGTTTGAGGGTTTGTGAGTTTTTCTGTTGTCATTCCATTTTAGAGATGTCACAAAAAGCTACTAACATAAAAATAGGCTCACCTTTATTACCACAAAGGTGAAAAAATAATAAGCTGTTTCTGTGTTTTTTTTCTGAGTGTACTGCTAAAGTCTGTCTCCTAAAAAGAATATTTAGTGGAAAATCAATCAAAATATATCATGGTCTTGTGGTAATGTTGGTGGAACAGATACAACAGGTACTAAATTTTTGGATATTTCTGATTTGGATGTTGTTTTTCTGAGACTGTTTCTCTCAAATTTAGTGAGTCAGACGAAGCGTCCTTGCAGAGTTCACATGACACCCAGTATGCTTTCCAGAGCTGACTCTCCCAAGGGAGTGTCCTGGCTTCCTACTGCTAGTTTCCTTGAGCTAACATATGGTTCATCTGCCTGGTACTTAGTTTGAGTGAATGAATCTTTGCTCCAAGGGAGAAGCCCTACAGAGAAAGTGTCAAATGCCCCTCTCAAGTCTTCATTTGAGCCATTCTTGTGGTTCCCTGCAGTTTTTGGATTCCAAGATACATAAGTCAATGCCCTCTTTAAGTAGAACCTATAGGGCTCTGTCTCTCTTCCTCTCTCTTTTGTATGTCTATGTGTGTGTAGTATGTGCATGTGTATATGAACATGTATGTGTGCATGTGGAGGTCCCAGGTTGAAACTGGGTGTCTTTCTTGATTGTTTCCCATCTCCCACACTGAGATAGCTTCCTACGTGAACTCAGAGCTCACTGATTCTGCCAGTCTAGCTAGCTAGCTTGCTCCAGCAGTCCCCCATCTCTCTCTCCTACATTCTGGGATTATAGGTGAGCCACCATGTGCATCCAAATTTTATGTAGGTGCTGGAGATCCAAACTCTAGTCCTTACTCTTACAAAGCAAGCACTTTATCCACAGAGGCATCTCTCTACTGCTGACAATGCCCTTTTTTTTCTTTCTTTTCTTACTGGTGCTGGGGATTGATTGAACTCAGGGCTTTGGCCATGCTAGGCAAGCCCTCTGCTACTGAATTATAGCTCTAGTTCATATGCCTTCTTTTGAAGTAGGTCATAATAAAGTTAATAAAGGCAACAGAATGAGTGCAATTAAACATTATAAGAGCTGCAATGTATGTACAGCGAGCTGGCAACATCAAAGCGGCAGCAAGTCATCTATTCATTGGACAACTTTTGTGAGATATTTGAAGTCACAAAAATGTTTTAGTAAGAGGGGCTGGAGAGATGGTTCAGCAGTTAAGAGCACTGACTGCTCTTGAAGAGGACCCGGGTTCGATTCCCAGCACTCACATGGCAGCTACAAACCGTCCTTAACTCCAGTTCCAGAGAAATCTGAAGCCCTCTTCTGACTTCTGCGACATTGCACGACATGGCTGCACTCACATACATGCAGGCAGTACACTCATACACATAAAATAAAAATAATAAATAAAATATTTTAAAATGTTTTAGTAAGAAAAAAATGACTTATTTACCTCAATCACTTAGGCCTATGGTGCTACAACAGATGGTCAGTTTTTTACAAATTAAGATATGTATCTAAGATTATGTCTTCTCAGAGATTCTTTCCCTGAGAGAACCTGTGTTCTAAAAATACTCAAAAGGCCTATAGTCTGGGAGTGTGACTTGGTGGTAGAGCACTTATGTGGCGTGTAGGCTCAGTCACCAGCATTACAAAGTGAAAACTCATACCATGTGGCTATTGGAGGTCTTTGGATATTTCTTTGCAAAGAACACGTAAGTCCTAAGATTGGATGGAAAAGCCGATTATGATTTAGGGAGGAGGAAATTGAGGCCACCACTATTTCTCCTCTGTCTTTCCCTCTTCCATGGACAAATTGTCAACAAAGACAAAACCACCTTTCTGTGGAATGAAGATGCAACAGCGGCTTCAGAAAGAGTGTCTGCCTTCAGCTGCACCCGCAGTTTAGGGTGGTGAAAGCTAGAACACTGATGTTTGCCATGTGGATTTGAACTGCTGAATCAGAGACAAGGCTTTGGTTCTCTCTTGAACTCACCATGGGAGCATTTCCAACACATGCTGGAGAGCATATTGAAGAGGTTACATATGAGGTAGGGGAGGGAGGGTGTGGAGTTTTGAAGTGAGAGGCATTTGGAACACTTATAAATGAGCAAATTAAAGTTTTAATTAAATAATTAATTAAAAATTAATTATTTAATCTACCTAGACATCTTCACTATGTGGCCCTGGCCAGATTGGGACTTGTTGCCCTCCTGCCTTGGCCTCTGGAGTGCTATATTAGAGGATCTTGCCATAGTTTTGAGGTAGGATACAGGAGTTCCAGGAAGAAAGTTTCTGTGTTCCTGTTGTGGCACAGACTTCCTGTTTATACCATGGAAAGGAAAAGTCTATCCAAGCGTGCCCCTGGGTCTGTTTAGACTGTGTTCCTTTTGTTGTTCATTTAACAGTTCCCGGGTTAGGGCCTGGGGTAACAGAAAGGACTAGCGTGGGGCTTACATAAGCTGCAGTTTAAGGAGAAAACGGGCCTGTAAGGCTATTAAATCGTACTGCGAAAAGTCCTGTGAGGGAGAATTGCAGGTCAGAAGGCATTGTTCTGTGGAAAGAAATACATCAAAGTTAAGTTGCCAGTCCAACAAACAAAAGCTATTTTGTACCTTTGGTATGGTCATTGATAATAGCCAAGCTCCACTGAGACCTGATAAATAAGTCCTCAGAAGAAAGCTAAGCTTTTAGTTGACAAATCTATTCATTAACCCAGTAAGGGAGTGTTATTATAGCTGTTATTTTTGGTGCTAGAGATTGAACCTAGGGCTCTGCATGCTAAACACATGTTCTACCTCTAAGTTACTTGCCTGGATGAGCTAGTCTTGACTTCATTTCCATTTTTGTAGATGAGCAAACGCATATGAAGAAATTGAGTGATTTGGTCATGAAGTTTGATCACAGAGCAATTATGTAGCCTTTTTAAAGAATAGAGAGGCTGAATTCAGCTTGCTTAGTGTGTAAAATGTAGGCCCCTAAATTAGGAGACCTCTTTGCACCTGTTTGTTTCTTATTTATTTGTTTGTTTGTTTAATCTGGAGATAGTTTATTGTTGTGCTGCCAACACTGAATGTACATGCCTAGGCTCAGTTGACCCTCCTATTTCAGCCCCCCAAGTAGCTGGGATAATAAGTGGGTAGTATTGTATCTGGCCTGCAGCTCTAATTAGTAGCTAATCGCAAACGTGGACTATTGTATCAATTTTTACCTCTTTCCCCCTTTTATTTCTACTTTTCTTGACAGCAGGAGCTTTGTCTTATTTGCTGTAGAGTTCACTGTGTGTTGTGTGGAGGCCTGTCCAAAGTATTTTTGAATGGTTTAATAGATTGAAATTCAGAATGAAGAATTCTTTGGAGACATATTAATGCCTTTGTAGCACCTTAGTTAGCGCTTTGCAGATATTAGATACTTAGCACATGTTTGTAGAATACCTAAATGAAATTGTTTATATCTTTGATAGAGATGGACCTTAACGATTCGAAATTATTGTGTCATTTCTTGTTATAATAAGTAAAATTTTAACTCCTATCCATTTAATTCATTTAAAATTATGACAGGATTTTTCCAGACTTAGGTTTTCAGTATTTTTCTACCTTAGTGGATGCTTTTTAATGCATAAAAATAGTTGCAGACTATGCAAAAAAAAGGGGATAGAGCAATTCATTCAAGAAGTTTGCTTCTCTGCAGATAACTGTTTAACGTACAAGGTACAATGAATCAAACCTTCCTTTTACTTAAGTCTGGATTCTGTTATTTTGTATTGTATTCAGTAGTGAACACCCGAATTTAGGGTTTGAGCCCATGGGATAAGGTTCCCTCCTTTACAGCATGCATGGAATCTAAAGTTATATCCATATTTCTAATCCTTACTATATGGAGTAAAACTATTTTCCTATCAGGACAAGGGCAGGCTTATTGGTTACTTGTGTTCTGTGCCTCTAGACTTCCAATGTAGCTCTTAGAGAAGGTTGTCTATGACTTGAACTTTGGAGAATGAGAGACACTTATTAGACGAAAGAGTGAGTCCCAGTGCCCCCATAGGTTTTGTAACGTGAAGTGATGCTGCCAGTTGTAGGCTGTGCTTACCCACTGTGTTCAGATCTTGACAAGATGACAACTGTCCTCTGACATGCTTTCCAGCTTCTTATGAAATCTTAGCCAAACTGGAAATTAGTAAGTGAGAAGTTGGAAGTATTGAATAGTCATGCCTTAGGATTATAGTACAAGATATGAAAGTGATTATTAGCAGACTTAAGAGAACATGTCAACTATATCTTTGCTAGGATCTTGTTACTCAGGGTGAGATACTGTATGATATGAATTAACTTTGTATTTTTGTGTGAACATTTGACTATTTGTGCTTTTATGCTATAGAAGTCAGTGAGTGTTCAGCCTGTTTGGGGTTGGTCTTGGCATTGTGAGTGTGTGTGTGTGTGTGTGTGTGTGTGTGTGTGTGCGCGCGCGTGTGTATGCATGTACATGTGTGGAGGCCAGAGACTGACGTTGGATGTTTTCCTCATTTGCTGAGTAGGCTAGATTAGCTTTCCAGCAAGCCCCAGGGGTTCTCTGGTCTCTGTCTCCCCAGTGCAGGGATTATAGGTGTATACCATGACATGTGACTTTTATGTGTGTTCTGGGGCTCTGACCTCAGGTCCTCATGCTTGTGCAGCAAGCACTTTGCTGGTTGAGCAATCTCTCTAGACCCTGTCCTATAATAATCGTACTGATCTTACCTAATGAAATTACGGTGATTGATCACACCACTCCAGCACTAAATTAAAATAGGAAATAAAATAATAACACATTTTGTTCTGTTCCAGAAATCCTGGATTGAAGGAGTATTCTGCAAGAGAGAATGTAACAAATTCATACCCAATTCAAAAGACCCTCACAGGTATACTTTTTAACTGTGTTCTTCTTTTTTTTCGGTATATTTTAAAATTTTTTATTTATTATTTTTATTTTATGTGTATGCATGTATTACCTGCATGTAGGTAAATGCACCCCTGTTGTGCAATGCCCATTGAGGTCAGAAGAGGCTGTCGGATCCCCTGGGTCTGGAGTTACTGACAATTGTTAGCTGCCATGTGGGTGTTGGGTTTGGAACCCAGGTCTTCTGCAAGAACAACCAGTATTCTTAACTGCTGAGCCATCTCTCCAGCCCCTACATTCTTCTTTTTAAAGCAATACTATTTGGAGTTCTGTTTGAAGAAATTTAGAAATACGACTTTTCTAGAAGTTTTGATAACATCTATCACATGAGACTATGTATTCATTTTGGTTTATACTTGTTCCTTTCACGGCATAGACACATGCTTGAATACTGTAGAGAATGTAGTCAGAAAGGAGACTCTGTTGGTTACCTCACAACAGCCCCAGTGCCTATCATGGAAGATGTTCCTGATAAATATCTGTTTAAAGAATGAATGGAGTCTAAAGAGGAAAAAAGTTACACATAATGACATCACTGTTAATATTGTGACGTATTTTATTTCACTGGGTATTTCTGCTCCTCTTGGTGGTGGGACAGGTGTTATAGGGAACAATGGGATTCTGCAAAGTTTGGGTAGATAATTTAGAATATCTACATACTGAGCATTTAATGTATTGTGACTATTTCTTCTCCCAATTAAAGTGTCTGTGGGAGACGATGACTGTTGGAGACGTTTTAGGGACACTGTGTGGATGGGTCCAGACAGGTCAGCAGAGTTAGTTCCATTTTCCTCCATGGGCTTTTTGTCTGTACAGATCATGGGCAGCAGAAAAGTGGCTTGAGTTAAAGAACCCTGAGTTCTTGACAACCCTTTGAAAACTCTACTAGTAGAACAAAGTTCAGCAAGGCACCTGGTGAAAGATACGGGAAGAAAGACCTGTGGAAAATTCCTCAGGGTAATCAGGTCCATGAAATTAAGACTGAATGTCATTGCCTTGGTGGAAAAATTAAAGGGGAAACAGGAGAGCAATCTTTTAATTAGGGTAGCCAGTCCATTTTAGATTCCCTTGAGCCATTGACCTTATATTCATTTGTTTAGGAGTCATGAGTATATGCTTCCGAAGGGCAACATGGTGAGGTTATTTGGCAATGACTAAAATGGTGTTCTTTACCTTTGTTAAACATTGACTAGTCCCACCCTCACTGAATTACCTATGATTTGTAAGTCCTGTGATTGGAAATTCTCATTTTACCTGGTTACAGAATGTTTATAGGATGCGAAGGTTACACTGTTTTTTTTTCCATTCATCTTTTATGGTGTCTTATAATGAGATGATGGGTCAGTGGAAAGAAGATAGAGTTCTAAGTGACGTTTTTGCTTCTTTAAATGGAAAATCATCTGCACGCTCACCTTGGACCTCATGAAAAGTGATAAAATAGCATCTGTTGTTAGCCCTAAAGTGTAAGAAGAGTCTTGAGTGTGGGGGCAAACTCAATCAGAGGTAGAGCCAGGGCTTTGTATACAGGGGACCTTGCCTTCAGTCCCCAGAGTCAGAAAACAAGAAAATCAATGGTCGTAACATATTTTTCTTTTTTCTTTTGTGTTTTTTGAGACAGGGTCTCCCAGAGGCCCCAGATGGCCTGGAACTCACTATGGAGACCAGGCTGGCCTTGATCTCAGAGATCTGCCAAACTGGCATTTGCCACCAACACTTGGATCCATTAATTCTGTGAATGATCCAAGGCTTGCTGCATTTTATGGAGAAAGAAAACAGTTCCTACATTTGTGTTGTTACAAAAAAATTAATGCATGACTGTGGCTGTTTTTTTATGCAATCTGTTTTCTTGGGTTCTAGTAAGATTCTCAGAAATGTACTTTTTAATATAGTTTTTGCCATTATAATGGATAAAAAAATGGTATGGTATTTCTTTCTTCATCCATGTGCCAAAATGCCCAACAGAAGTGAGTTAAGGAGGAAGTATTTATTTTGGCTCTCAGTGCCAGAAGGTCTCAGTGAGACATAGCGGAACTGATCTGCCACTGGTCGCAGAAGTTCGTGGCAGGGTCTTACTCCCATTGTTCATACCAGAAAACAGAAACTGTGGTTCTAACAAATGGTGAGTTATGACCTTCAAGGGCCTGTCCTAGAGTGAAATACTTCTGCCAGCCGGGCCCTGCTTCCTAAAGGCTCTACAACCTTTAAAACAGCACCACAAGCTGGGGGAGGATCGAACATTCAAAACATTAGCCTGAGCCAGGGAGGAGGAGTTCAGATTCAAACCATAATAATTTGTATTTCACTAGTTCATTTCAATAAAAAATTCTCTCTTGTATTAAAATTTTAAGTTCCTAGTAAGAAAACAAATCTAAAAGACTTGACTATAAAACCTTTTTCCTCCTTATTTTCAACTTCTTGAAGTAAAGCTTCCAAGAAAAGACACAAAGACTGGAGCGAAAAGAAGTGAAGGCTAGACCGTGGAGCTGTGAATAACTCAGAATGACCCTTACCCTACACATGCCACCTCTCGTCCTCATACTTTAAGTAGAGTTTTCTTTTGAAATTTTTTCACACTGCAAATACAATCATTGATGATTAAATTCTGGTTCTTCTTTCAATTTTATGTCTTACAGGGTTTATACCGAGTTCAATATTGTATAACTGTATTAATTCAACAGTGAACCTAAAAATTTACAGCCACTTTTGAAAGAGGTGTATCCTTGCTCTGAATATTGTTATTGAATATGTTAAAGCTGTAATGAAATGCTTCTTCTAATCATGTAGTTATTAAAAATTTTTAAAAAGATTAAAAAAAATAGTAG